CTGCTGTGGCAGCTCGAATGTAACTGGCCTATGTAATCTCACAGTGAGTGGCACTACTAGGAGGTGTGATTTTGTTGGAGTGTGTATGGCCTTGTTAGAGGAAGTGTGTCACTGTAGGAGTGAGTTTTGAAGTTTCCTATGCTCAGGATACCACTTAGGACTTTCGTCAGTCAACTTCCTGTGCTCTTAACCTCTGAGCCATCTCTCTAGTTCCCCCCTCTTTTGTAATTATGTCATTTTTCTCCACTAGTAATCTTAACACACTGCTGTTGGGGGGACCCCAAAAACCAACAGCAATGAAAAAGTGAAGCCAGCAAGACATGTGCAAGTCCAGGCTGATGGTGCAGCTCCAGGAAGAGTCTGCTTCTCACGCACAGGCCGAGTATCATCCCCAGCACACACAGTCTAGCCACACTAAGATTCTCTCCAAGTCAACTGCACCAATCAGGTGCCTCCGAACATGCTGACTTAGAAAGTACGCGAAGTTGTTCCATGTGGCATCTCTGCCATTCACATTATTTACACAGAGGCTTTCCCTTGGTTCTGTAATGATTGACACAGTAACATTTGCAGTATGCCACTTTGATTTGCTGCTTCTTCTGCCAGTAATTATGTGTGGGGACCCAAAGAGGTGGAGGCCATGAAATTTGTTTGTTTTGGTGCTGGGATATTAGATTAGCTGGAGCCCTGTAAATGATACTGTGATGTTGATGTGTGAGGTGAATTAGGTAGTGATGGCTTTTAAATGTTTGTGCTTCTAGATGGTTCGAAGGCTAGAAGTACAGTGGATTCAAAGGTAAGCGTGGACCTCCTCCTGCTCAGCTTCTCAGGCTGCATATGTGTGCTTACATGAATATGTGTCTGTACCTGTATGTGTGCATGACATGTGGCTTGCATTTAGAGAGACAGCATCAACACACTGAAACCATTTTGAACTTACATGGAATGCTGAACTGTACAACACAGAGGAAGCCCTAGCAGTGGGGTTGCACCCTAAGACAGACCTGGGGTAGCACAGGTGGTACATTCCTTCTTACTCTGTACTGACTGGGTGACTGGCCCCTGGCATCCTCTTCTCCTTGTTCTCTTTCTCCTCATTCTTCGTCATTTCTTGAGAACTATTTACCCTCTCTACCTGCCAGCCCCGCCTATCCTTCATCGCTTTATTAGACCGTCAGGTGTTTTAGACAGGCATAGTAACATAGCTTCACAGAGTTAAACAAATACAGGGTAAACAAAAGTCACACACCTAAAAGTAATATTTCCTAGCAGTACAGGGTGCTGACATTCAGGCCATGGGAAGTTGTCATGAGCCTTTAATCAGATATTTATTGGATCTCATGATTCCAAAAACACTGCAGGGTCAGCAGGGTAATGCCCAGGCCCAGAAAGGACCTGCTGTGATAAGACAGGGTTGAGGTCTGGACTAGCCTAGAGCTTTGTAATGTAAAACAAGGTTTGGTGTGGGGGGGGAATGGAAGAGTGGAAGGGAAGGGGTGAGAGAGGTGTTACTGCGCAGAAGTGAGCAGAAGAGCAGAGCAGAGAAGGGTTTGCTTTGGAATGTCCTGATTCTTCATTGAGGGTACTGTGTTATTTGCTTGTAGACAGGGTCTCCTGTAGCCCAGACTGGCTTCACCTTGTTACATGGCCAAGGTTGGCCTTGAACTCCTGGTCCTCCTGCCTCTGCCTCCCAAGCTTGGGTGCGTATTACCAGGCCTGGCTTTGCTTACTTGCCTGTTTTCTTCCTTCTAACCATTTTGTGGAGGTATGATTGGACAACAATAAACTGCCATATTTACAGTGACAGTTAGATACATTTGACTGCTGGCTGGTGGTGGCACACACTTTTAATCCCAGCACTTGAGAGGCAGAGGCAGACAGATCTCTGTAAATTCGAAGCCAGCCTGGTCTACAGAAAGAGTTCCAAGATAGGATTCAAAGCTACAGAGAAACCCTGTCTTGAAAAACCGAAAAAGAAGTCAATAAAAGACTACATTTTACATTTGACCTGCCAGTCAAGATGGTGGGTGTGTTCACCACTTCAGAGGCTTCTCATGCTGCTTTTTCATCCTGTGCCCAGGAAGCAGTCGCTGCAGTAGACAGCAGCTTTAGGGGTCTTATGGAAATGAGCCACACAGCATAACCATCAGAGTTTTTCCTGTTCCTGTGTGTATGTATCTGGTTTCTTTCCATGGCTTGCTACCGATCTCTTAGCTTGTGCAGAAGACAGTGCTCTGGTATTTCAAGTCTGGAGCAGATTCTGGCTGGGACCTTTTGCTCTGCCCAGGGCAGCAAGCATCCTTGGTTCTGTACAAGCTGTAGAGTAGAGAGGCACTCACAGGAAGACTAGGGAGGGGTTAGAGAGCTGCCAAGAAGGAAGGAAACGGGAAAGGGAGCTGCCTTCTCTGAGACAGGATCTCAGCTCTATCTGGAAAGACAGCTTTGTCAGAGAGCTCTTGAAGGTCATTAGTGTTGGTGTTGAAGAGTTTTTTGCTTTTCGTTTGTTTGTTTTTAGTTAGCTTTAATTTATTTGTATTTATGTGTATGAGTGTCCTAGTTAGGGATACTCGATGAAACACCAAGACCAAAAGCAAGCTGGGGAGGAAAGGGTTTGGCTTACATTTCTACACCATATTTTATCACTGGAGGAAGTAAGTACAGGAGCTCAAGCAGGGCAGGAACCTGGAGGCAGGAGCTGATGCAGAGGCCATGGAGGGTGCTGCTTTCTGACTTGCACCTCATGGCTTGCTCAGCCTGTTTTCTTATGAAACCCAGGTTTACCAGCCCAGTGACGGCACCACTCACAACGGGCTGGGCCCTCTCTCATCAATCACTAATTAAAAAAATGCCCTCAGCGAGATTTTTGGAGGCATTTTCTCAATTACATTTCCCTCCTTTCAGATGACTAGTTTGTATCAAGTTGATGTAAAGCTAACTAGCACAGTGTTTCCCTGCATGTATATATATGTACCATAGGTGTGCCTATGCCCGTGTTGGCCACAAGAGGGTGTTGGGTCCTTTGGAACTGTAATTAGAGTTTGTCAGTTACCACATGGGGCTTGGGAATGAAACCTGGATTCTCTGTAAGAGCAGCAAGTGTTCTTAACAACTAAACCATCTCTCCAGGCCAACTCGCTTTTTTATTTTTCTAGGTAGGGCTTCTCTGTGTAGCCTTGGCCTTCCTGGAACTTACTCTGTAGATCAGGCTGACCTAAACTCAGAGATTTGCCTGCCTCTGCCTCCCAAGTGCTGGGAATAAAGGCATGCACCGCCACCACCATCCAACTTAGTTTTAATTTTTTATTTTAATTGTTTGAGTGTTTTGCCTTTATGTATATGTATTATATACATGTAATGCCCATAGAGGCCAAAACAGGGCATCAGATCCTCTGGGGTTGGAATTATAGTCAGTTGTGAGATGCTGTGTTCTGGGAATTGAGCTCAGGACCTTTGCAAAAAATATCCAGTGGTCTTAATCATTGAGCTATCAACCCCCCAGCTAGCTTTGACCTTCCTAAGCTTGTTTTCTGTCACTTTTGGCCTGAAACAGATTCTGTGTCTTTTAGGCAACAGCAGAGACATCCATCTCAATTCATAAGAACGATGGGGCAGTTTCGTTTCAGGTATGTGTCACCATGGAGTAAAGTTTACTCCCATTTCTGTGTGCTGAGGTCCCTAACTTATTTCTGAGTCTGAGAGCTGTGACCAAGGCTGTGAGCATCTCTTTATTCTTCACTTCCAGTTCTTTTTTAACATCAGCACTGATGACCAGGAAGGCCTATACAGTCTTTACTTCCACAAGTGCCCAAGCAAGAGGCCTACTGAGCAGGTGTCCTTCAGCCTGAATGTGAGTACCTCATGGGGCATTCACAAGGATGCTCTCAGTGTGAGACATATGCTTCTCCGGAAGAACAGGGTGGGTTCTGGGGAAGTTTTTTGTTTCGTTTGCTTTGGCCTTGGTGCTGGGCTGAAGCAGGCTTTGTTCACCGAGAGCATATAAATGCCGCTTTAAGAAAGTGGGGCTTGTCAGCACCCTGCAGTGGGTAGGGTGCTCCTGCAGAGGATGCGTGAAGGAGAAAGTGTAGAGTTGGGTGGGGTAACAAGCAACTTGCTTGATACCCGCTGACACACATGCTCTCGAGCTTCAGTGAGGCAGTTACAAGTGTGTGTTGTCTAAGATGGATTCATCTTCTGCTGGCTGCAGATTGTCATCACTGAGAAGAACCCTGACAGCTTCCTCTCTGCTGGGGAGATTCCTCTCCCCAAACTGTACGTTTCCATGGCCTTGTTCTTCTTCCTTTCTGGGACCATCTGGATTCATATCCTTCGGAAGCGAAGGTAAGTGCTCTGAGTGTGTGGAGAGCTGTGTGTTTCAGGCTGCTGGATTCTGCCCCTGGGGAGATGGCACTGAACAGCCCTGCCAACTTCCAGAGTATCCTCCCCGAGACCTAGAGGCTAGTGAGAGGCGCTGCCTAGGGCGCTGTTGACTGACTCTTAGTCTTTTGTTTAGAAAGCAGATCCAAATGTTAGTGTAAACACACGAGCAAACACGATGCACTGGCAGAGTGTTGCCTAGCAGAGACAGGGAGCTTCACAGGGAGTATGTTGGGTCGTGTCTTTCCGGGCCATCTGTCTGGAGAGGAGTGAGTGAGGATGCCACTGCCCAAGTGGCAGCATAGAGCCTCCGGCTCTGCAGGCTTCAGCCCAGAGCCTCCCTGGACTTTCTGGTGTCTGCCAGGAGCTTGAACCCTGGAAAAAACCCTTGAGAGTCTATCTATCTTTCACCAGAACCCTAGTCCTAAAACCCTGAGGCTCTGACTTTCTTTCTCTGTTGTTGAGGGGAGTGACTACGTAGGTATGGATTCTATGTCTCCCTGCCCAGAAATCTTAGAACAAAACAGTGTGAAGCATTAAAAGGCCTTAGACTTAGTGTGTGAGTCTGATACACTGTGTTACCCAAAACTCACAGGATAACTAGGTGCCCCAGACACCCTTCCTGGAGCACTGGGGTGGAAGCTGAAACCTCTGGTGTCTTGAGTACCTTTTAACAGGCACTCAGAGTCTTGGATGTGGACCCTTCTAAAAGGACCTTTCATGTTGGCAAGATGACTTAGATGGGTAAAAGCACTTGCTGCCTAGCCTAATGATGACTTGAGTCTAATCCCCTGGTTCTATGTGGTAGAAAAAGAAAACTGACTCCTGCAAGTTGTCCTCTGACCTGTACGTGTGCACTGAGGCTCTCCCCCAACACACGCTTGGCTTGTGGCTTCCTGTCCGCCTCTCTTCACTGTGTCTCTTCCTTTATCTACAAAACTGGGGCAGTAATGATTGCCCTTCTTTCTGCGGGTCCTCTTATGTCCTTAGCTCTGCTCTGTGTCTTTGTCCCATCAGGATGCTGTGCAAATGAGGTACTTTTAGACCCCCTTACTTGCCTGTGTTTCCTTGTGTTTCGTTTTCCTTTGTTTAGCAGCGGCAATGTCATTGTCTTGGCTCACTTGGATAAAATAGTGATTATGGTTTTAAATCTGTGGTTAAGTGGGGCTGACCTATTTTTTTGCCAGTTACACTTTTAACTTTGTGTGAATATGTACACACCAAAAAGATGCAATTTAAACTATAGTCATAGCCTGTGGATGTCCGTAGGTTGGAAGTTTGTGTTTCACTTAGTCATGTGACCCCCAAGGCTGCCAGGATTTTTAGGACAGACACTTGTTACCTTCATAGAGCTGGAAAGAATGAGACATCTTTGTCACATAAGTATACTGAGGCCCAGAGAGTAGAAGTGAGAGACAGCCTGACCGCACTGGGGCTGGAGGCCAGGGCTGCCTGCTGGTGCCCGCCTCTCCTTTCAGGCTTACTATGCCGTGCACCCAAGTGTGAGCGAGGGCTGGCAGAGGCAGGCAACTGATGATTTTCCATGCTTAGAGGTTGGCGACTGTCCTAGGCTTGTTGAGGTAGAGCTGTGCCATTTCAGAGATGAAGGTCATCAGGGCCGAGTCAGCGGCAGGCCCAGGTTGCCATGGTTTCAGAGCCTTTCATTGACAGGATGTGAGAGTGGCCTTTCACAGTGGGCAGTATTGCATTCTCGCTAAAGCCCACTGCCATTCAGTAGTGACAGGCTGCTCTGGCCTTGACTTCCTTTTTGACTTTCAAGTAAATAGTCTCTAGAACAGGAAAGTACCCAGGAAATAAGCCCAGAAGCCCAGTGTACGTCAGCTTATGGTGTGGTGTGGTCTCATCATTGCTCTGTGCATGCTCCTCTCCCAAGTAACCGTCCCCCTTACTTCCTGTCCCTCACCCACTTTTCCCCAACCATGGAAAGTAACCCCCCCCCAAAAAAGAAAGAAAGTAACCCCAATATGCTGACAATACACTTTGGGACATTTGTAAGGAATGTCTGGTTTTTTTTTTTTCTTCTTCTGTGTTAAATGTACCGAAAGTGTTGTCTGCAGAGGCAGCTGCGTAAATTCGGTGTCACCTTTTCCATGAGCTGTACTGCTGTGTCTGTATCCAGAGTCTCATGGGCTGCTTTGTCATGTACTGCAGTCCTTAGAGACAGGGCCATAGCCAGGCTACTGCGGTCCCTGCTAGCCCAGTGCTGACATAACCTTGAGATCTCCTTGGGACTTGTCCTCTGAGGAACAGTCCCAAGTGGAGACCCACAGGGTTGTGGCCTGCTCTGGCTGAGTTGCATTGTTGTTGGATTGCCCACCATGTGGCTGCACCATTTTCCACTTTTGCCAGGGGAGCCTGAGCCCTGTCAGCATCCTTTTACCACAGCTGACCTCTTGATATGTGCCAGTCTGGTGTGTGTAACTGCTGGGCCTTACTTCCCGTGTCTCTGAATGTTCTTGCTAGGGACTATCATTGCAGGCCTATGTTGTTTGCATATTTTCCTGTTGGATTTTCTTATTGTCTAGCTGCTTTGCATGAACAAAACTCTTATGTGTTCTAGACCAACCCCTTCCTGGCTCCACATGCGGGTTTTGTCTCTGGTCATTCTGGTCACTCGGCCTGTCAGCAGTGTGTGTTGTTGAATGAAGGTTTTGACTGTGATGGAGCCCCACTGTCTAATTTTGTCTTTACAGTAGTGCTTCTTGGATCTAAGGGGCCCTTTGTTACTCCAGGTCACAAGGTGTGTTTCGTTCAGGGCTGAGCTATTCTAGAATCCCATTGGATAAGTGGGCAGTGAATCCAGCTTTACTTTCTTTTGTGTGTAGTACCAGGTGATTTTCTGCCACCACAATCACATAACAGTCTTCCTTTCCCATCAAGTTGGTCTCACTTTCTCTTCCATCAAGCTTCTATGCATGTGTGGATCTTCCTTGTGCACTCTCTTGTCTGCTACATTGGTTTACCCCCTCATGGTGGCAAATATACTGTTCCTATTCCATGCACTTATTCACCAGTGTGGTGTTGCCAATTTCTTGATGTGTGACAGTGTACACATGGCCTTGGCTCTTATTCAAGGTTTTGTATACTTTGAGAGTTTTATTTTTCTCTAAAACAGCCGGGAGTTCCTACCTGCAGGGGTGGGGGTAGACACAGGAAGAAGAGTCTAATGCCCAGAGCCCAAGGGTGACCTGGAGCCTGTGAGGGGAGATGAGGGTAGGGACTTTATCCACTGGGCTGGTAAGTGGGAAAGAAGGGCATGATGATGGCAGTTTCTCCTCACCTGTTACCATGACCATCTCCCAGGCCTTCTGTGTTGGGCCCAGATATTTGCAGTTAGATCTCATTTTTTGTCTTCTTTGGGATTTCACATTGTCTCTGGGACTGCCCTGCTTATTCCTGTGTGACTGACTCAGTGTGGTTTCCAGGGAGAAAGCTGGTGGGCTGTGTTAGATGCCTATCCTAGCCTGCCTCAGCAGCCATCCTGCTTGTCTGTAGTGTGTAGCTCCCAGTTAACTGCATTAGACTGTTGAAAATGTTGTGATAAGACACCATGACCAAGGCAATGTACAGAAGGGAGAGTTTACTTGAGGGTTGCAGTTAATGAGGATGAGTCCATGCCCGTCATGGTGGAGAGCATGGCAGCAGCAGGCATGGTACCAGAGCAGCAACAGAGAACTCACATCCACCAACTAGGCCACACACACTCCTCATCCTTCCCAGTTTACCAACGAGGGACCAAACATTCAGCTTTATGAACCTATAGGAACCCTTCTCATTTAAACCACCACAGACTGGTCTGAGGCCATTCCTACTGGCAAAAGCTACATTGTAGAAAGAAACAAAGTAGCTTTTTGTTTGCGGTTTGCTCAGGTTGTACTTGCTGCTTGCTTAGAAATGTATCTGATGAAGCTGGGCATGGTGGCACACACCTTTATTCCCAGCACTCCGGAGGTAGAGGGAGGCAGATCTCTGTGAGTTCTAGGACAGCCTGGTCTACATAGTGAGTTCCTTTCGAGAAGTGGAGTTTTCTAATTCTTTTTTTTCTCTCTTTTTATAGGAATGATGTGTTTAAAATTCACTGGTTGATGGCGGCCCTTCCTTTCACCAAGTCTCTTTCTTTGGTGTTCCATGCAGTACGTATTAGCCTTTGGGGTCATTTATGAAGTGAAGGATGAGCATACCTGATTGGGAAAATAAGTTAGAAGGCAGAGGAAATGTGGGAGACGAAGGGAAAGAATGCGTTTCTCATAGAGTCCCTTCTGCAGAGAACTGTGGGGCCAGTGAACTCAACCTCCTGACCTACTTACGGGCTACAGTCTCTCCAGAACACTGACTTTTGTTCTTATTGTTTTTGAGACCCTCTCACTCTGTAGTCCAGGCTGGCCTTGAACTTGTGATCCTCCTGGCTTGACCTCCCGAGTGCTGAGATTACAAATGTAGGTCTCTGTGCACATCAAACACACATCCCCCATGTTCCTGTCATCTGGAGACACGTGTGCTCTCTGCTGGGCCGTTGCTGGGCTCCCCTCACTTTACTCAGCATCCTTGTATTCCTGCCAGTGAAGTTCAGTATTAGTAAACTTTCTGGAGGAAAAAAAAGTAAATCTTACAATGATCAGGAGTCCAAGAACTGAGCTTTGAGTACTGAGAACTGGTGCACATCAAAATGAGCTTGCCTGTGGAGCCAAGATCACTGCTTCCCTAATTTTGGGTCCGCAAGGTGTGTATAAAATGCATGTGGTTGGTTTTCCTGCTACACTTGAAAATGGAGTCACAGAAGAAAGCAAAAATGCACCCAGTAAAAACAACAGGACATGACAGTTACTTGGATAATTACCCGTTTGGATATAAGTTAACAGATTCTTGGGAGGGCCCTAAGCCACTTTAAAATCTAGATACCATTTAGAAAATGAGGGCTGTCTGCCATGGCCAGCTTTCCCAGTCCTGCCAGTCTTCCCCTTAAGTTACAATGCTTGGCAGTCCCAAGTGAAGTCAGGTCTGTGTACACAGGTCTTGTTACTGACCTGTAACTGTAAGCAGTAGGACTTCGAGACAGCATGCTTGACTGGGGAGTGAGAGCATTTGCCAATGTAAATTGAGAGAGTGACCTGGGCTGAGTGTTAGGGTCTTTTAAGCCTCTGTCAACTTTTCTCAGTTAAGTATGTTAGCATACTGGTGTACTTGTTGGTGACTTGACAGTGGAGGTATTAGACAGTGGGGTGGGCGGGCACAACCCAGTCCCCATCCCAAGGTCTCCTAGAAACATGTATTGATTCATGGCACAGCCTTTCTGAAACACAGCTGTTTGATTTCAGATCGACTACCACTACATCTCCTCGCAGGGCTTCCCGATTGAAGGCTGGGCTGTTGTGTACTACATAACTCATCTGTAAGTATGCAGGCCCACAAGACAGTGGCGCTAGTGTGTGCACCACGAAAGGGCTTCCAAAAATCTTTACGGGCGAGAACTGAGAATGTGGCTCCGTTGGTAGAGTGCTTGGCAGGCATGAATGACTCCCTCTGCTCCATCCCCAGTACTGTAGAAATCAGGCATAGTGGTGCACACCCATGACCCTAGACTCAGAAGGTGGAGACAGGACTTGTTCAAGATCATTTTTGACTGCATTTTGAGTTAAAATTTGAGCTAGCTTTGATTATGTAAGATCTTGTCTCAAAAAAAATAATAAATAAATAAAAAGAAATTCGGTGGCTAGAGAGATGGCTCGGTGGTTCAGAACACTGGCTGCTCTTCCAGAGGTCCTGAGTTCAATTCCCAGCAACCACATGCTGGCTCACAACCATCTGTAATGGAATCCGATGCCCTCTTCTGAACTACAGGCATGCATACAGACAGACAGACAGAGCACTCATATATGTAACAAATAAATCTTAAAGAAAAGAAGAGATTGGGGGTGTGTGGAACCCATCAACAGGGTGGATCAAACAGGGTGACCTACAGGACTGGAGTCTGTGGGGCCTGGTGGTATCTGTGAAATGTTCTGTCTTCCAGTCTGAAGGGGGCGCTGCTGTTCATCACCATCGCTCTCATCGGCACTGGCTGGGCCTTCATCAAGCACATCTTGTCTGATAAAGACAAGAAGATCTTCATGATCGTCATCCCGCTGCAGGTACTAGAACTGTGGCTGACTGTCAGTCCTCCCTGGCTTTGGGCAGGATTCAGCTCTAGACCTGTCTGTAGGGAGTCAACTTGCTTGGAGTCCTGAGCTTCTACCATTGCAGACTGCAGATAGGGGCTCCCTTTCTGACTGACAGACCTAGGCATCAGGTGTGTGCTGGAAGTCCTGGTGGCTACTCGTCTTCAGACAGAGAGCATCCTTGATTGTGGTGGAGAAGTGAGGAACAAATGCTCTCATGCCTTCTGCTTCTGCTGCCTCTAGCAGAAGGGTTCTCTTCCTGAGTGGACTCAGGTGCCCTCCAGTGTTGCAGAACTGAGTAGCTTCAGAGAGTTTTCCTGCAGGGTGGACATACCCTGCATGGTGGTCAACCACATAGGGCTGACATTTTTTAACTCACCCTGTGTTTGGAGGACCTGTGGTTTGCCTTACACCAACAGTTCATGCAAGGAAGCAGAGACTGGAACTGAGGGCAACATGGCCAGCTACCTTTTCCCAGCCTGGTCACAGCCATGCCTTTGGTGAGGTCAGCTCCTCCTGTTTAAGATCATAGCATAGGTGTGATTGGCAGAAGAGGAAAGGAAGAGGGAAATTTCCTGGTCCGGGTCATCTCTGGGGGTTGATTGGCTGCTTGGTAGCATTCAGCAAGCAGGGAGAAGCGTGGGTTAGCACCAGACCTGTGGCTTAAACCAGTTGTAGGTTTTCAGGGAGAAAGTTATCATTCAGAATGATCTAGAAGGGTCTTGTAATGGAAATGGAGCTTGATTGGTTGTTTAAGAAAAGAAATGTGACAGACAAAGTAGTGGTCACAGATAGCTGTGACAAGACACTGCTGTCAGAGGAACCAGACCACCAGGGCCAGCTCCAGGCAGATGGGTTTCCGTGCCCTGCCATGGTTTGGTGGGTGTGTCATTGTTGGGGTCCGATACCCCAACATAAACTATTTTTCTCTCTCTGGACCGACATGGAGGCACAGGAATAATTGAGACACAGTTCACACAGCAATATTGGAAGGGAGTCTCAGGGTTCATTCAAATCCTGAAGATCACCTGTGTTTATTATCCAAACACCTTTTATCCCCCAAGGTAGACTGAGGCGGAAGTTTATTAACATTTTGTTTTTGGGGTAGCAGGACTACAGTCACATTGTAGCACTGTCACTAGCTTGAAATTGACACCTCTTTTTAGGCATCTACATAATTACAAAGCAAAGGAGCAGCTTATCCTGAGCTTTGACAGCCTGTCTGGAAGGGGACGTGACTGCTTCGGATACCAACCGTGGCCCAAAAACTTGGCTGTCACACCATGTAGAAATATGGGCCTACATGTCATGGCAGAGCCTGAGTTCTCCTTGCACTCTGGGCTGTTCATGCTCCTCTGGCAGATTCAGGCTGTTTTGTCCGTTGACTCCTCCCCCTACTTGAGCTGGGTATGATGAAGAACCCTCTGTTCTGCTGACTCTTAAAAGGTGAACATGCAAGGCCATGTTGAATATCACCCCAAGGAAATAAGGATGTTTGAAACCAAAGATAAGGAAGTTAGTGTTTAGACAATGGGACTGGTCTGGGAAGGTTCTGACCAAGGTCTAAGCAGCTTCCTTTTGCGATGAGGAATACCAGAGAGTTTCTTTGCTTTTTCCTTTGTTTTTTCTTGTGGTATGTGGCATGCAACCCAGGAACTTGGACAGGCAAGGCAAACACTGCTGAGCCACGCCCTAACCCTTACCTGCAGCAGGAGTGAGTAAAGTGGTGTTGAAGAGGATTGTGGGGCATGGCTCAGCACTGCCTCTGGGAGCAGCCTTTCATGCAGTGTGTGGGTGAACTGGGTTCCGTTTATAGACTAGGCTAGAAACCAGCAAGCCCAACAATCATCCTGTCTCCACCCCACTCTAAGCTGGGGTTACATTGTGTTCAGGACCCCTGGCTTGTTAAATGAGTGCTGGGATCCAACCTCTGATCCTCACGATTGCTTGGCAAGTATCTTAGCTGCTGTGCTCTCTCCAGCCTCAACTTGCCTCATTATCTCTTCATCACAGCTCGTGGGTTCTCTGGAGGAAGTATCACAAATCAGAAACTTCCCTGATGCACAGTGGCATCTTAATTAAGCCAGCTGAAAACTCTTCGTTGTTGCTGAGAGCCCAAGGGTGGGGCTAAAATCACAAGGCAAAGCCTCGATTGTGGAAATAGAAGCAAGACACGAGGCAGATGAGCCTCAGGAAGGGCTATGTGTGTAGGGCCTGACTGGCTAGCCCATGTGAGGAGTGGAGCAGTCTCATATCCACACTTCCTGCCGCTCCAACCTCTCTTCTCTGTATCAGCCACTTAGAGTTGTTGTTCCTGAGGACCAAGAAATCTCTGGAAGAGCTGGGTCTGAGGAGTGTTGGGATCCTGGCTATGTGGGATGTGAAGTGCTACCTGCCCAGTAGCTTTTGGGACTGCCTGAGGCTTTGAGTGCCAAAGCAAAGTGTTCCCATTACCCATTGCTATATACCACCCTAGACTTAATGATTTGAAGCAACACCAAGTAGTAAATCTCCATTTCTGGGGGCCAGGGATTTGGGGGATATCTTTATTGGGTAGGCTTGACCTGGGGCCTAGTTGCAGTCTGTCGGTGGCTGGGGTTTGGGATATTGTAGTCTTCACTGAGTCTGTATCCTGGACTGGGAAGACCTGATGGGACAGAGGAGAAACGGCTGAGGTTCCTGGGGTGTCTCTCTTAACATAATTTCTTCACCATGGCAGTGTAAGGGAGTCAAACTACCATATGAGAAGGCTCAGGTTTCTGTAGCCCAGCAGAGGACCAGGAGGAAGCTGTACCCACTTTGGAGGTCAAGCAGCGGTTAGAACCCGTCACAGACCTGATAGGTTCAGGGGTTGGCGAGCTGAGAGTCAGGGTTCTCGGGCTTATGGGTGACAGTAGCACTGCAGCCACAGGGGCTTCCCGCTTTGGGCCATTGTCATAGCCACTTATGCCTTGGCGTCTCCTGTTGTAGGTGCTGGCAAATGTGGCCTACATCATCATAGAGTCTACCGAGGAAGGCACGACGGAGTATGGCTTGTGGAAGGACTCTCTGTTCCTGGTTGACTTGCTGTGCTGCGGGGCCATCCTCTTCCCAGTGGTGTGGTAAGTGACGTAGAAAGGCAGCACACGCACGGCCAGACTCACATGGGTGTCTGAAAAGACAACACTGTGGACCCCAGGCTGCCCCAAATAACAGCTAGGGTTGGGATTCTGGGACTTCCAGTACCCTAGGCCTTAGCTACTGAGAGTCACCAGGGGACTTCAATAGAGCTGGTCTGGCCCATAGGCCACAAGGCCCAGCTCTAACCCAGTCAAGAGGTTCTAGAAGGAAAAGCTTAGTGGAAATGTAATATGTCCGCCAGAATTTGGTAAGGGCTGAGTAGGAGAATCCTTCTTCTTGCCAGTTTAGATGGAAGATGAGAATATACTCTGACATAAAACTAGTGCTTGTTCTCAGGCCACCCAGGTGTTAGGGCTCTGGAGAGTGACGTCTCTGACCCAGAAATGGCAGGCTTCCGGCTCGTGCTTCAGTTGTGTGAAAAGAGGTGTCATTGCTGTGCCCTATGAGAAGGACAGTCTTCGTGAATCCTGGGAGAGAGGGGAGAGAGGTGCAGGTTGCTATGTTAGTGCAGTCAGGTGGACAGAGCAGGCTGATGCCAACACAGCTCCCTGCTCATCCTTAGTGTCTGGCTCACAGCTTCTACAGCGCAATCCATGCTCTGTTAGTGTTAAGGGAGTGAGGTTCTTTGGCAGCATCCACTGCTGTAAGTCAGTGCTTTCCAGAATCCTAAGGTTGTCGGGTCCAGCTACTATAATTACTGAGAGCCTGGTTCTAGTTAGAGTCACCCTCCCCTAGTCTTTGTATAACACAAGTATTCCTGTTCTATATGAATAGCGCTGCTGGTATAGAGAACTAGGAGGGCTGGGATGTGGCCTTGGTGGCGGAGTTCTTGCCTAGCATGCTTGAAGCCATGGGTTCCTTCCCCAATACCATATAACGTGGCAGTGTGGTGCATCTGTAATCTTGGCATGGAGGAAGTAGAGGCAGAAGGATCCTAAGTTCTAGATCATCCTCTGCTACATAACAAGTTTGAGGCCAGCCTGGGCTACATGAGATCCTGTCTCAGAAAAAAGGAAATGGGGATGAGACCACTACCATGCAGTCTCCTCAGCTGCCCTACCATCCAGCCCTGTTACCATCAGGATGGTCAGTGCTGTTCTCAGGTAGTAAAGACCTTGCTGAGAAGCAGAAGCTAGGTCCTATTCCTAGCGTCTGTCATTGTTGGAACACTAAAGTACAAGGGTCCCAGATGAGCATTGTCTTAGTTGCTTTTCTGTTGCCATGGATAAGATACGGTGACCAAGACAACTTATAGAAGAAAGAGTTTATTTTGGGCTTATGACTTCAGATGGTTAAGAGTCCATGACCATCATCGCAGGGAGCATGGCAGCAGGCAGGCTGACATGACATGGGAGTAGTAGCTGAGACCTCACATCTTGATCTGTAAGTAGAAAGCAGAAAGCACTAACTCAACCTCAAAATCCTACCTTTTGTGACACCCCCTCCAACAAGACCACACCTTCTAATCCTTCCCAAACACTTCCACCAACTGGGGCCCAAGTATTCAAGTGTATGTGTCTTTGGGGAGTGAGGTAGGGAGAGCATTCTCATTCAAACCACTGCAAGTATAGATCCATCAAGCCACCAGTGGTCATTTCTTGTCACTTGATCATGCACTGAGAAGGTACCCAATGGCAATATTCCTTATGCACATCCTAAAAATTGATGCAAGAGATGAGATGTTAACAAACACAGAAGAGACAGCATCAGTGGGCCCGTGAGATGATTCAGTAGCTGCCAAACCTAATGACCAATACCAGCAAGTTGTTCTCTGACCTCCACATGGGGGTGTGCATACACATACACATCAAGATTTAACTACAAATAAATAGCACTATTAAATTTATGTAGCATTTGATTCAGCCAGCCTTTGTTCAACAGCAACATAAACCACCTTCATGCTGATAGCATTCGTGTGTTCACTTTCTCATGAAGTTTGGGGGCAGTACCTTGCTGAGGTTTTTAGGTGTGATTTATCTGTAGATAACAGGGTCAACATAAGACCAGGAGCCCCACCTGCAGATCCCTCACCTGCCTCCATTGTCCTTCCTTGTCTGTCTGCTCAATGCAGGCTTTCCCCTGTGGCTGTGAGCTGTGCCTGCAGCTCCAAGTCTTTCTTAGTTTGTCTTGTTCTTTGAGTGGGGATTCACCGTGTAGCTCTGTCTGGCCTGAGTGTCCTCCTGAGTGCTGGGATAGCAGGCATGCACCACAGAGCCTGGCTTTGTGGCATCTTTAATAACGTTAATGTCCCCTTCCTGGAGCATAATGATGGTGATCATTTATCATTGCAGCGCTGCCAGAGCCAGCCTTTTCCAGAGCTGTAAATCTTACCAAGTGCAGTGAGTTTACATGAAGCCCTAGACCTGCACAGCTGCTAGACCTCAATTTAGGAATCAGCAACAACTTTCTCTTGGGTCATTACACCCTGACAGGGCTGCTCAATAATGATCACTGTCTTCTAGGGACAGGGTGGCTGGGGGAATGAGAGCCAAGGTTTATGATGGGTGTTTCCACTGCCCCTCCTGCTGACCCGGATTCTGCCAGCAGAGGGCAGCTCATCTCAGCTTGAGTACCATAAATGGCCAAATGTGTCTGGCAGAGAGAGACCTCTTGTGTTAGGAGGATGCTGTCCAGTCATCTGGTCTGACCCTTTTGGTTTACAGTGGGGGTTCAGGTCCCAAGCTACTAGAGCCAGAAATAGAAGAGAATGCAGGCTCCTCTACTAACCTCTGCTCTCCACATGGTTATTTTTAGGTCAATCAGACATTTACAAGAAGCCTCAGCCACAGATGGAAAAGGCAAGTTCCCTTATGCTCCCTTGTATCCCTCCCACTGCACTGGCATTTGTCCCGCTGAGAACTTGGGCACAGGACAGGCAGGGATTGGGGACTCACTCTGTAGGGGCAGCAGGGATGGTGTGGTGGGGAAGCAGGTGCTGGGTGACAGAGACAGTTGAGGCCTGGGGAAGTAGCCCTGTGTCCTGCTGTCCATTGTGATTGTGATATTTACATTTTATTTATTGATTGATTGATTGATTGATATTTACATTTTTAAAAATTATTTAAAATTTTGGGGTTTTTTTGGTTCTTATTTTACATTTCTTATTCATTTTACATATGAACCATAGTTCCTCCCTCCCCTCCTCCCACTCCCCCCAACACCTTGCATCCACTCCTCAGAAAGGCTAAGGCCTCCCATGGGAGTCACCTAAACCTGGCACATCAGGTTGAGGCAGAACCAAGCCCCTCCCCTCTGCATCAAGGCTGGTGAGGCATCCTAGCATAGGGAATAGGCCCGAGATCTTCACTTTTCTAAACTAAATCCAGTAGAAAATCTTGTCTTGGTGAAATATATTGGGGTCTGGGAAGGGTCAAAGAGCTGTGTCCCACTGGTAGAGATGACAGTGTTCAGCATGCTTCTGGTTACTGCAGCACACTGTGTGCCCATGTTTGTTTGACTTCAGCATTGCCTGGTGTCCCACCACTTCCCTCTGTGTTTTGGGGAGTGACCGGTGTGTTTCTGGTCTGCACCAGTTTGTGGACTGGCCCACCTGGTGGAAGAACAGTGCTCCTGGAACACATGAAATTGCTCAGCCGACTGCATTCCGGAGTTTTCTGAGCCTTTGTTTTGTTTTGTTTTTGTTAGAAGAATATGGGTTCATTTTAGAATATGTGGAAAATAATATACTAGCTGCAAATAATTCCATAGACTTGATAATTTATGTCAAGTTATTTCACTTTGGGGTTGTTTTTGTGTTTGTTTTAAAAGATTTAGTTATCTTTTTATGTACATTGGGGTTTGGCCTGCGTGTATGTCTGTGTGAGGGAGTCAGGTCCCCTGAAACTGGAGTTACCTTTGGAAGAACAGCTGGTGCTCCTAACTGCTGAACCATCTCTCCACCCCATTTTCTGGTTTTGGTGTTGAGATTGAAGCAAGACATGGACTTTGCCACTGAGCTGCACTCCCTCCCCTGCCATGTCCTAGTGTTTGTTGAATTGCATGACTCCTGACTTTGAGGTTTCACTTCACTTCAAGACCTGCGTGTGCTCCCTGGGTTATTTATGTTCTGTTCAGCTTGATCCCAGAATAGTCCACACAGTTGTCCAGGCTCCTGAAGCTCTGGGCAGCCTGTATCTGAGACTGCCCTGGTCGGAGCCTAGTCAGTACCCAGTGGCCTCTGCTGGTGTCCAGCGCCAGCTTTGATCTCTCTAGTGCTGAAGTACAACCTCTCTGTCATGTGCTTTCTCCTCTTTCCTTCCGAAGCCTTTGACATTTGCCCCTCTCCCCCATGCCCTCAGCTGCAGCTGTAGTACAGGCAGTTTGCACAGCATGCAAACAGTGACATCCAGACCCGGGCAAAGCCCTCCTGCCTCCTGCAGAGGGAATGAACAAGGTAGATGTGGGGTTCTGAGGAAGCCCCTGCCTTTGGGGAAAGCCTGCCTGGCTGCTAGGGATGTTCTGAGCCTGTTGTTTTGTTGTTTTGTGTATGTTATATTAAAAGGTGACTTACTGCTTTTATAACTTAATGCATAGGGACGTTCCTCAGTGTATCCAGATGGGACAGTTTGTTTTTAAAATTTACTTTATGTGTGTTGTTCTGCCTGCAAATAGGCCATATACCATATGAATGAGTTACAGATGGTTGTGAGCTGCCATGTGGGTGCTGGGAATTGAACCTGGGAAGAGCAGCCAGTGCTCATAACTGCCACACCATCACTCCAGCCCTTTGTCTTTCTTTTCTGGTTTTTGCTTGTTTGGTTTTGAGACAGGTCTCACTGGGTAGGACTGGTTATCCGGTCTCATAACTTTCTTCCTTGCATGGTTTGGTGCTTCTAAATTAAGATCGCTGTCTTCCTTCTGCTGCTTCTTCTAGCCTCTGCCTTCCCCACTTGGTCCTCCATCTTGTCTTAAGGCCCTGAGTGACTGGAGATTAGTCTGTGATGATTCGCCCACACTGACCCTAGCTGAGGATGACGAGAAAGGGCTTGGCCTATGGCACAGCAGGTTCTGCAATGAAGAGACTCTACGGAGAAGTTATTTTCTGTCTAGACTGGTGGTTCTCAATCTTCCTAATGCTGGAACCCCTTAATACAGTTCCTTATGTTGTGGTGACCCCAACCATAAATTATTTTCACTATTACTTTATAACTGTGGTTTTATTACTGTTATGAATTATAACTATCTGATATGCAGATAGTTTTAGGCATCTCCTGAGAAGGGGTCAGGACTAACAGTTAACAATTGTTAATCTAAACCAAGGGCACGTGGAGGTCATTCCTTTATCTTCCACTAGGTGGTGGTATGAGACTTCTACATTTATGAAAACAGCCTGGCTTCTTCCCATGAGGAAGTGTATGTACAGAAGGGTGAGAGGCAAAATGAAGATGTCATCTCTGTAGGATGGTTTTGAGCTGATCCACAAGTGTGTATTTCACTCTGTTCTTTGAAAAGTAACTTCCATAGTCCAGCAAGCCATGTTCCCCAGTGGAAGCCCCCCACAGAGAAGCATGGGACCAGCACTCTGCCAGCAGGTCAGGGTCAGTGTCACCACCATATGGCCCTGACTAAGGGGTGGGCAATGGTTCTTCCAGACCTTTGGTCACCCTCTGTGGGAAGGTCTGCTCTAGGATCTGGAGACGCGAGGCCAGACGAAGCCTGGCATCCCACTGCCTCTCCTCATCTCATCACCCATTGATCTGTCACCTGGCCTCAGCAGTGACTTCAGCACGTTTAGGTGTAGTGCAGACCACGTGAGCAAAAATGCTGCTCAGCATGACTCCCGAGGAGTGTGTGTGGAGCTCGTGTGCACCCCTTTGTCTCTGGTTTCCTTTTGGCTGAACTTCAGGAAGAACAAAGGAAACCATTAAGGAGAAACTGCCCGAGCCCCTGCCTTTTTCTTTTCCACCACACACTGGGGGTTCTCTCGGGTCTTCTGTCATTGCAGTCTGTAGCCTTCGAGGGGCACGGTGGTTGCCCATGCTCAGCCTTCTGCCAAGATCTGCTGACCGCTTGGCCTTGGAACCTGCAACCAGGTTCCTGCTCTCTCAGCTCTCTCTGACGTGACCTGACAGGACTGACTCGTGAATACACTGCATAACTTGATTGGTGGCCCTACCTCTAGTTTTTACTTTCTTTTTCTGAGGGAAAGGCAGGGGAAGTTTTCCAAAGAACCTTCCATTTTCCATGTGCTTTAGAAACATGGGGTGTGAGTGGAACTATAGGCTGGTGGAGGCATGGCCTTGTTCTGAGTGGCCACCATGTTCAGAAAGGGACCTTGGCCTAGGACGTCATTTCAGCACTCTCGGGGGTCTTTGGGTCACGTTGGCTTCAAGTCTGACATTATAGTGTCTTAGTCACTGTGCTGAGAAGAGACACCATGACTACATCAACTCTAACAAAGGAAAACGTTTCATTGGGGGTTGCTCACAGTTTCAGAGGTTCAGTTCATTATCAGCATGGCAGGGGGCATGGTGGCAGGCATGTTAACATGGTGCTGGAGAAATAGCTGAGAGAGACATCCTGATCCAGACAAAGGAAGAGAGAGCCTGAACCTGGCACGGGCTTTTGAAATCTCAGAGTTCATCCCAGTCACATACTTCCACTAGCAAGGCCACATGTATGTGAGCCTATGGGAGCCATTCTTACTCAAACCATCACATGGAGCTCCTCACCAACAGATTGAACAGCGATGCCTATGCGAGATGGGGCAGTAGCCCCACATCACAGCATTCACCGAGTTATTTTTAATATTTTATTTTCTGTGCGTGGGTATCTTGCCTGTGTGTGTGTGTGCACGTGTGCACGTACCATATACTGCCTGGTGCCCTTGACAGCCAGAAAAGGGTAATAGATTCTGTGGAACTGGAGCTATAGACTGTGAGCTGCCACATGGATGCTGAGAATCAAACTGAGGTCCTCTTCAAGAGCAGTGAGTGCTCTTAACCTCAGAGTCATCTCTCCAACCAAGCCACCAAATTCTTTACTGGCACTACTTGTGGGGTGACCCAGGTTTGTGTCCTTTCAGAATGTCTGTAATGATATAGCAAGTAGTTATATCAAGTCTCAGGCCCAGTGCCTGTCTTTATATGCAGTGTAGAAGGATGGAGAGGACACCGGTACTGCAGTGAGTGAGAAGCCACTGTGTCACTCGGGAATGAGTGAAGTGAGCATGTCACAGAGGAAACAGCTGGCAGTGTTTATTGCCGGATACAAGTTGTGCTTTTTAGGACAAAGTACAGCACAGGAGAGTTCACGGCTGTCACGTGAGCCAGAGTCCTAGTTCTTCAAGCCCACCAGGGTATGCAGAAGGAACACTGCCAGTGTGGGATTGATTTAGAAGTGCTTCAGTGTTTGAGAGCAGTGCTGTTCACTGAAACAGTGTGCTCCACCTGATCCATGACGTCACACTGGGTTCCACCTGGTAGGTGACATCACAGGCAGACAGGGGCAAAACTTCAGAAGGCAGAATCGGGGCCTTTTGAATGTTCCTCACTCCCGGGACACTTGTATTTATTTGAGATGTGCTAGCCCCCGGTTGCTGCTTGGTGAGGTATATATAGTGTTAAACTTGAACTGTTTCTGAGTGTCCAGTTCTGTGCTCTTCTGTTCCCATGGTTGTGCAGCTGTCAGCACTGTCCATCGCCGATTTTCTAACTTCTCAAACTGAAACTGTGCCCTCCCACTCCTTAATCATGGTTCCACCTCCACTGTCACCCTTTCTGGGACCTCATGTTAGTGTTATCTGCACTGTTTGCCTTTTTGTGTCTAGCTTGTTCAACTTAGCAGTTTCCTAAAGTTG